GAAGTTTGCCTGAACTCCGAGTCAGCGAGAAGCCTGGGGGAGCTCAGACACGCTTCCCTTTTCTGTCCTTTGTCCCCCACCATCAGCGACAGCCTGTCTCAACCCTGCACCTTTGTTGCTGACACTGAGCTGGTCTGTGGCGGGACTGTAAGGAGCAGGGCAGGGGACAGGCTCTCCTGGACCTGGACCTGCCCTCGGGGTTACCCAGCAGAGCCACCTACCTCTGTCTCGGGGACCTCGCTGCTGGTCCTGGGGTGGCAGCCTGGCTCCAGGACGGTCTCCTCCTCTTGCTTTCCCTCGGCTCTCCCCTCGTCCTGGGCGAGGCTCCTCTCTGCTCCTCCCGGGGGACTTTGGGGGGCCTCCTGCCCCACAGCCCCCTCCTCCAGCGGCTTCGAGTCTTGGCTCTGCTGTGCGGGCTCCCCTTCACCTCCGGCTCCCTCCTCGTGCGCGGGCTCTTCCCTCTGCTCTGCGGCCGGCCTTTCCCCGCCAGGGCTCCCGCACCGGCCCTCTGCCTCTGTGCTGGGGGCTGGGGGCGGCGGGGGGGCCTCCTCCTGAGCATCCCCCGCAGGCTTCTCGGGCAGTTGGGGGGCGTCCTCCTGCTTCTCCGTCTTGCTGGGCGTCTCCCTCAGAGGGGGCTTCTCGTGGGCCCCCGGGGCCTCCCCCGCTTCCCTTCCGGCAGCCCCCTCGCCGGGCGGAGGGGAGCCCGGGGCCTTGCTCCTGGGCAGGAACACCTCGTCCCCGGCTTCGTCCCGGGCACCGTTCTCCTGGGATGACCCCTCCGCCCTGAAATCTCCCAGCTCCCCGCAGTCCGACTGCGACCTCCGGAACCGCCGCGAGGGGGGGCGCCTTTTTATGGAGCCCCTCGTCCGCACCTGGAAGAAGGTGTGAAGGAAAATTACCCCAAACTGTCAAAAGGCCAAGAGGGAAACTGCAGGTCCTGTCAGTGTCGCCCTCCCACCGAGCATCGCCGACCTGCTGGAGGCCGGCGGCGCTGGCTGTGACTGTCGGCCACAGCCGGGACTGTGAGGTCCCAGGCGGCCTGCAGATCTGTCCCGTGAAGCTCCCGTCCAGTAAAAATGTGATTTTGTTGCCCTGTAAACAGTCTCCGGTTTGGTGTCTAAGCCATTTTGTTCTATCCTGTGTTTATTAAATTGTCTCTAAAGTTCTGCGAATGTTCTTTGGATGAGCTTCACCATCTTGCAGGTTTCCTTATAAATTGACAAATTGAATAAAATTGATCTCTATTTTGTATAAGAGGCATGTTTTAACATTTTGAAAATTATACTTTAACAAAGGTGAACCCAACAGAGAGGAGGGTTGAGGCCTGCTGGTGGCCTGGCCCTGGCACAGGGACCTCAGGGGGACAGAACTGGACAGCTGGTGACGAGCTTCCTCCCTTCCCCCAGCTTGACCTTTCCTGTCCCCACAAAGCTGAGAGATCCTGGGAGAGCTGAGCAGCCAAGGCTCCTTTCCCTGCTGGGCGCCAGGCCCACCGGTACCAGAAGCCGTGTCTCAGGAGTGCCCAGCAGAGCGGGCTGAAGGCCCTCGCCTCCTTGGGAAGCGTGTGGGTCTGAGTCAGGGCTCACCGTCCCCTCCCAACTTCATCAGAAGCTCGGTGGAAACATTTATCTCAGGTACGGACTTCACTCAGGGGTGTGCCCTTTAAATATGTGTCAATTAAACCTTATTTTCATAAACTTTATTTTCCCACTGGCTCAGATTTTGGTAGTGGTCAATCCTAATTCTATCTCAGAGGTTTGGAATGGATACTCGTGGTTTAGAAGGCTTCCCAGGCCCCTTCCCGAGACCACAGGAAGGCCAGCCCTGCAGGGGATCAGGGCCCCGGCCCTCATGGCCGTCAGGGTTCAGGAATAATCTTTCCCATTCCCTTGCTGCCTTCAGAATGCTGAAGCCTTGCTATTATGACCAGGCGCCCCCACCTCCCTCCCTGCCTCTGCTCCCTATCAACACCTTGTGAGAGACAGGTTGTCCCCTGGGCCCCTCTGCCTGTGACCCGGGCTGCAGGGTCTCCTCTCGATCCCCAGCTAGTAGGCTCAAGCCTGCCCATCACCTCTGCACACCTGTTTGCTTCCTTGCCCCCTCCTCCTGTTTCTATATCCTTGACCTTTCTTTCCCAGATGGATTTTCTGGAATGGCCCAGAAGGTGCCACTTCCTCCATCACAGTTCCAGTCACACCCATTGCCAGTCCCTGGCACTAGCCTCTGTCTGGCTCTGCACCCATTTGCTGGGCGCCTGCTTGGATTGTATCTCTGATCCTTACCAGAGATAAAATAAGGCCAGGGAGGGCCGGGGGTCTGATGAGAGGTGCACACAGAATATCGGGCAGCGTCTGCGGAAACCAGCCCAGCCTCACAGCTTTTTGCAAAGGGACCAGACTGGATACTCTTTAACGGGCAGGAATTCCTACTGCAGTGGCAATGCTTTGGGCCCATGCTGGGGCCCTTAGGGTAGTCACCCCAGGCCAGAAGTCCTAGTAACCCTGCCCACCATCCTGCGTGAATCACTGACCAGGTCTTTAGCTTTGGTTCTGAGCTTTGACATAACTCCATGCAGGTGGGCTCAGCCCTGAGTGCCCACTCCTCCATCCACCAAGGACAGTGCTCTCCACCCCCCACGCCTGCCTTCCTGGTGACAGCTACAGGGGGAGGAGAGGAGATGGGCAGAGAGGGAGAGGCTGATCTTAGCTCAGAGGTCTCCTGCAAAGAAGAGGAGACATTTCCTTCCTGTTAATAACCAGTTCTCACTACAGCTCCGACGTGTCCTGTTCTTTCCAGGACAACCACACGGTAGAGCCGATTCAGGAATGTCCGGTGCCCACATTTCCACAGACGGACCACAGGCTCTCAACCCAGACATTACCTTGTTGTAACAGGGCAGGTGGCTGCCCTCTGGAGGCTGGTCGAAGCTGATGGGCACCACCTCTGGCTCACTGGCCCGAGGCCGCACGCCGGGGCTGGTGGGAGTGGAAGGTGGGCTGTGAAATGGTGACACCGCGGCCTTGAGTCCAGGGCTCTTGGGGGAGGCCCCAGGCAGCAGGGCGGCTGGATGGAAGGCTAAATTGGCCTGTTGAGAGGAGAGGAGACATTTCAAATGGGGCTGGAGAAAGGTGACTTTCTGCCCTAGCTCGTTGGCTACCTGGCCTTGGCACGTCTCCAGGATTCTAGAGCTGTGGTTGTCACCTGGGGCAATTTTGTGTCCAGGAGACAAGTGGCAATGTCTGGAGACATTTTTTGTTGTCACAACTTTCGGGAAAGTGTTGCTGGCATCTCGGGAGGGACTGAGGATGCTGCTAAACATCTTTCAATGTACAAGGCAGCCCCGTGCAAGAAAATGATCCAGCCCAAACAGGGCCAAGGTCAAGAAACCCTGGTCTAGAGCAGGAGGAGTTGGGTAGTTACAATGTCGACCTCTGGTATTTACTCCCCTACATGTCTTTTATTATATCATGTGTGAAAATCTCATCTCCCAAGACTGTGAGCTCCAGTTCCATGACTTGTGCTTCATCTACACCCCAGGAAAGCCAGCTCTGCTCTGGGCACACGGGTGATCGATCGGTAGAGGGTCAGGCAACACATTTGGCTGCCCAGGGCCATGTCGAGCAGCTGAATTTGTCCTATGTTCAGCCCACATGGTTGGTGGCTGCATTCAGGCCTTGGGGGAGAGGAGCTGGTTATTCCTGGAGTGCTTCCTGCAGGACAATGTCCTTTTTCCGTGATGCTTGAGGCATTCCACTATCCATCAGCCACTGCCAGGTGTTAAATACATGAGTTCATGCTTGGCAGGGTCCTTATTTTGGCCTTTTGTCTCCAGGTAGAGTGGTCACTAGCTGGTTGTCAGAGGTCAGCTCTCCAGGTGACACAAAGACACGCAGATGTTGGATAAGAGGTGGGGCTGGGGAAGAGGTAGCGATGGGCAAGCCTGCTGCGCTTACCTGAAGCTTCTCGATCAGAGGCGAGCTCTTCACCTTGACCTTAGGAGGGTGGCTCGTGTTGGGCAGTGATTTCTGTAGAGCAAATGGACCAGAACAACTGAATGAGTGGGGTGGAGGGGGCAGGGTTCTGCTGGAGCGCAGAAGCCACGGGTGGAAGAGGAGGGGGAGGAGTTGGTTCCATGACTTAGCTTCGGGGGCCCATCTACCTCCCCAGGGCCTGGGTGAGGTGGGCTTCCCCTCCCCCATCTCTCCCCTAGCTAGACCATCGACTCCATGGATCAGAGCAGGCAGGACAGATGCCCGAAATGCAGGAAGATGACTTCATGGTCGTTATGAGGGAACAGACTGTGTCTGAGAGGGGACTTCTCTATACCTCATGACCTTCACCAACATGAGCCAACACTCGGAGGGAATTTCAAAGAGAAAGGGCAGAATGACCCCATTCCATTGGTCACAAACCAAACAAGAAACCACAAACCAGGAGTGAAACCTGACAGGTATTTTGGAAATTCCCCCCTTGAACTGATGGTATTTGGGAAAGTCCCACCATAAAATATCATTTTCCAAAGCACTGAATGTTTATTTAGATGAGGCAGACATTTACGGAGGACCCCCTGCGCTCCAGGCCTTGCGCTGGTTGCATACAGGTGTGCTGTTTGTTGCAGATATTTTTGCGATGAATGTATATAGAAATCTTATCTGTCTTTGATTTTATATTATCTGAGAAGATTGACTCCTTTCTGTTTTGTGCAAATCCCTGCAACTGAGTCTGGTTCCACAGACGTGTCTATCCTTAGATGTAGGAATGATGGCAATGGTGATGAAGGAAAAAGAAAGGAGACACTTCATGTTGTTGGACAGAGGCCGAGGCAGCCACGAGACCCAGGGTCTAGCCCTTGCCTCTCGCCCCAAGCACTGATTTACCTGAGTCATAGGAACAGGAGTATCCCCCACCCACCCCGTAGAAGGCTCTGAGATCTGTACTGAACGAGATGGCTGCGCTTCAGTGGAGGAAGGAGACGACTGGCTCAACTGAGCTCCTGTGACCTTTTCAAGGCCCAGCATTCAGGAGGCGGGCTGCAAAGGGACAGTCACTAGCTGGGACCCAGGAGGCCCAGGCGCCTCTAATTCCAATTCCACAGGAGCCAGTGGCTGCCCCGGCCCTCAGCCTCCTCAGCCAAGACCTGGGCAGTGGGGAGAATCAATGATTCTAAGGACGACCCCCTCCAGCTCCAAGGCCCTCCTGACCCTGTGAGCTCACACTGGTTGGACATGTCCCCAGAGCAGTCTCTCAAGGAACTTGTGTCCATGGTGAGTACAAAGAGCTTCCAGCCCAAACTGCTTTGTCCTTAATCCTTGTGGTTTAAGGTGAAATTTCACACGAGCCGGTGTTTCTGAAGATGCTGTTTTAGAAACAGCAGCTGTGATTTTGCTGACAAAGCTCCCCTTATGTAGCACTGTAAACCTTTCTCTTCCACAACTGACCACTACCTTCTGAAAGGAGCGGAAATTTAATAAACCTGCCCCCTTCACCATAGCACGGGCCTGGGAACCCAGCTCAGGATCTACAAAATCCTCACTGATTTGAACTGCAGAGCAAATTCTGCAGAGCCGCCAAGGCAGTTCCCACGAACGGCAGCAGGTGGCAGCGTTTCCTTTACCACTGAACATGCGGCTGGGGCAGTGGGTGGGGTGGGTGGAGAAAGGCCAGCCCTCCATCCTCCACAGGGATGTATCTATGTCCACACAGGACTTTCCAATAACGTCTAGGAGTTCGGGATCTAAATTTCCATACGGGAGTGTTTTCAGCCGTCTCTGGGCAGACAAGGAGGGGTCTGTGGCCACAGTCTTTGGCTGTGTCTTCCAGAGACGGGTAACTCCTGGCCCCTGTCTTCCGGGGCTGATCCCACTGTCTCAGGCCTGTGCAGGCACAGGGTGAGGGCAGGGGTGAGAAGGGGTGGGGAGACCCTTTCCAGCACTGTGCATTAGGGACCGAGGAGGCCTGACTAGGGCCGTGCCTTCCAGGGCCTGGGCCTCCATTGCTGGCCGTTACCTATGACACTAGAGCCTTCCCTGTGTTGGTAAGTTGACTATCTCTACCTGAGAGCAGCGAGCTCTTGTGTGCTCTGGGCTGCTTCCAATGATCCAGAACTGTAGCCAGTCTTGAATCTCACGTTACAACTCTGCCCGAGATTATGTGCAGCCCTCCCTCGGGTGCTTCTCCACATGGAAGATCATGTAGGTAGACCTGGCAGGGAAGTGTAACTTCCTCGGCCCCTGGATCAGGTGGGTGGTAAAAGCACCCTAAACATCCCTAATCATCTCAGTTTTCTTTGCTGAAATTCTGAGGCTTGAAAAACAGCACCCCTGCCCCTGACCAATCACAACCGAGGCCCAGTAAGGGGGCGTGGAAGGAGACTCATGGTCAGAGTCAAGGATGCAGGAAGATTCACCCCTGAATCTAAACTGGGGAACGGCCTGCACAGGAGTCTAGGCTAAGCGCGTCAATTTCATGCCCCTTCTAAAAGGAGAAAGAGAACTCATACCCAGGCCTCTGCAGCACTTACCTCCTCTCCGTTCTGGCCCAGCTCTACCTTGGGGGGGAACAGGGGGAGGGAACAGGGCGGTTTCCTTCTGGCTGGTTTACTGGCTGGTATCTGGAGGGAGGGAGAGTGATAGACAGACAGACACAGAGAGAGAGAGAGTCAGGCAACGGGGAGGAAGAGGAAGGAAGTGGAAGTGGTTTTAGGGGTGTTTAGGAATGTCCAGAGGAGGGAAGGATGGAGGGGGTGGTGTGTCCTTGAGGCTGGCCCGTAACTGTGTAAGTGAACTCCGTGTCCCCCGCTCCCGTCTCCCGGTCCATCCTCGCTGTGGCACCCTCTTCTACTGCAGCCACTAGCCCGAGACATCCTAAAAAGACACCCACACCCAGCTTCCAGGCACCGCCAGCACCTCCGACCAATACCATCTTCCTTACCCTTCATGACAATCCATAATGTCTAGAAATTATGGATGGCTTTTTCAGACGGGAAAACAAAAGCGCAAAATAACGCACCTAAAGCTGCGTGCGGAGCATGCTCGCGTTGGCCCAAGGGGCCCTGATAACCCCCCTCCTCGGCTGCCCTGCCTCCCTTCCAGTGAACAGGTCACTGGGTGCTCGAGAGGGTCTAGCTTGACTCTCTCCAACCTTACGACGCCTATTCCACGTCGTCCTGTCCAGCAGGATCCTTCTAGAATCCATCAGTCACTGGATCCCTTTCCTTCTGGGCCCCTGGTTTCCTATCGGGACGTGTCCCCCTGCCTTCCTTGTTGGGATCCTAGGCTCAGGCAGGAGCCGGTGTGGGGACATCTTTGTTCTGAGCCAGCCCAGGCCTGGCACAGCTGGGCAAGACTAAGTAACAGGCGATGATGGAGGTGGCCCCGATCCAGACCCCCTCCTCTGGGGGGCAGGCTGGTGGGCTCCGGCCCTGGTCTCCCTCCTCCTAGAGCGGAAGCCTGGCTCTGCTGGGAGAGATCCTGCCCTGGCCCAGCAGTGGCCACGACATTCCTCGCATTCAGGGGACCCCTCTGTGGCTTCTCTTCCTAATTTGGTAATTACCACGCTTCCTCCTCCCTCTCCTCTGGGCCCTTCCTCCAGCCCCCTCCCAGAACAGGGCTGCTAGGCCGCCTGACTCACCTCCTTCGCGGCTGCAGCCTGCTCCCTAAACCGCCCGGCCAGCTGGGCCACCGAGGGGGGCGCCGAGTTGTCCACATTGGCGTTGGTCTCTGCGGGTCTTTCCTGGCAAACCAAGGGGAAGTGGCAGTTAGCAGGAGATGGGCCCTCAGCTCAGCTCAGTGTCCACACTGGGGCCATGCCAGGCAGTTGTTCTGTGGCCACAGCAGAGGTGCAGTGACAATGAGGTCTCTGAACTGCATTTAGCAAGTGGCTCTTACATGTAAAGATTTTTAAAAACCACTCAGTCCACCACACTTAGTGAATATTTAAGATGTGCTGGGCCCTGGGGGTCTGGAGGAAATAGAACTGGGCCCTGTCCTGGATGGGTGTCCAGGGGTCTGGGAGACAGACGAGCCCCAGACCCCTCATTCTGTTGTATCGGTGACAGTGTTGGTCAGAGGGGTCTGTGGAAAGGGGTGCTGGTGACATGCACCTGAGAGAGGGGCCTCAGTGTGCAAAATGGGTGGCCAGTGCCCGTCACTGAGCTTCCCACATGTATATGGCCTCCCCCTCCCCACTTCACCAGGTGCCGCGGGTGGTGAGGGCATGCTCAGTAACTATTTGTCACATTAATAAACACCTAACACACTCACGGGTAGCCTGGTGGGGGGGGACCTATGGCTGGGCTCGACCACAGTTGTTCCGTGTGCTAATAGCTCAGTGATCTTGGGCAAACGCCTTCCTTTCTGTACCGTGACAAAGACAGGTAGCACGGCCCCTGTAAGGCTGTTCTGTGGGTGAAACGCTTTCCTATAGAGAGGGCAGGACAGGCCTTTAGAGGGTTGCCATGACTTCAGGCGGCGGGTCCTTCCATGGGCCCTGTGGGGTAGGTGGGGGTCCGCATGCCCTCCACAGTGTCCTCGCTGGGAGACACACCCCTCCACCCTCTTCCTTTTTGCTGAAGGAAGTAGGGTTCTCCAAGCCAGCCCATGCCCTGCTCTGCCTCCAGGGCAGCTCATCGGTTATAGACCATCCCCCCAAGGGGCCTGCAGGCTCCCTGAAGAGGCCAAGATGCACCCTGGAGGACTCTGCTCACTCCCATGGGCCGTTTGTCTCTGAGACGCACGGGTGAGTCAGCGAGCGCTGGAAATGGCCACCCCACGTCTGTGATGTTACACGCAGCCCACATAACCACCTGGTTTTAATAATGGTTTTTAAATGTCTGGTCCCAGAGACATTAAGCTTTTGTTTTTGTGACCGTAATGATGGCATTTATTACAGACAACACGCTCCCTCTCTAGGCAAGCTGCTGCCCAGACTAGGAGGGTTTGGTCCAGCTCTGTCTTTCCTGGGGCTCATGGCCTACAAAGATAGGGCACGCACCCCTTCAGCAGCAAGCCTGCCGTCCTGTGTACCACACACACACACGCACAAAAGCACACATGTATGCACACACTGGCATACACACAGACACATACATACAGGTACATACATGCATACACAGGTGCACACAGACACGCACATCGACACAGGCACAAACACGTGCATACATGGACACATACACACATGCACATAGGCACACACATGCACACACATGCATGGACACACATACACACAGGCACACACTTGTATGCAAATGCACACACATGCATGTGCACACATGCACACAGATACATATATACACTTCCTAGGCCCTCCTTTTTGTGCTAAAAACATCTCCACACTTTCTGATTTGGGTGCCCCTCCAAAGTAAATGTCACAGGTGCAAAGTAAATGTCAAATGGTGCTGCCCCCTTGGAGCAGGGGAGGGGCAGGTGCCACCCCCCACTAACCTCTAGTGGTGGCTTTAAGTACACAGGACAGAGCTCTGTGAAGAAGGCTTGTTTAGAGATGGGGAGAAACTGCTGGGGCCATGGGCCTTCAGACCTGTGAACAGACTGTTTCCTGCTCTAGTTCAAGTGCACCCCTGTCCCAGCCTGAACACCAAAAGTTGATTTCACATAAAGACATTAAAGGATTCACCTCCAGTCAACACACCAGAGTTCCCATAACACTGGTGAAGGCCCCAGGGTTAGTGCCCGGTGGACAGAGCTCACGGAGGCACTGGCTGAGATACTCGCCTGGTTGGGAGCGCTCAGAGGCAAACATCTTGCCCTCTGGAACAAGGGAGGCTGGAAGGAAGGTGTGACTAACTGAGCTGCTCCTGGCTCAGCCGCTGCTCCGATCAGTCTGTCCATCTGTCTGACTTCCTGCCCACATCTCAGATCAGTCTCTCTGTCTGCAGCTATTTATTGCTCGGGTCCCGCTGACCACGCACTTCACCTCGGCTCCACAGGCGCCGTGGCTGGCAGTGCAGGAAGACGAATTCCAGATAAAAATAGAGCTGCACAGGAATCAAAGGCTTCCGGGACTTCCCTGTCCCTAATGGGGCCGGGTGAGGGGCTTGGAGTGAGGGGACGGAGGGGCTTTGGGAGGCATTTAGGGCTTGAGGAAGGAAAGATTAGAACTCGCCTGAGTTTGCTTTCCTAGAGCCCAGAGAGTGGGTTTTCTTTAGAATATCTATGGACTCCAGAGCTGGCCGAAGGCGGGCAAGTCCACTCTCCAGACGCTTCTTGGTCATCATGTGGAGAACTGGTTGCTGACTTTGCATAGCTCGGCTCACTGCAGCCCAGAGAGGTCAAGTGACTTAGGCAGAGTCACACAGGAAAGCCAAATGGAATAATCTGGGAAATACTTGACTCCAACCCCTGATTATCCAGCAATGAATGGATATCAGTTCAGTAGTGGAATTTCTGAGGGTGCTTTGCAAACTGTAAAGTGCTATACAAATAGTGAAACTATTAGCCACTAAATTGCCCATGCACAGCGGGAGAAGCATGGCCTTGGGGATGGGCAGGGCCAGGGCTCAGCCTATGTGAAATTCTGCCTGGATTTCTGCCTTGTAGTTTTGGCAGGTATGACTTCTAAACTCCCCCAGGGTTCCAGGGCCACCACCTCTGCCCCAGGCTGGTGAGTGGGGCTTCAGGAGCTTGCTCAGTCCCGAGGCTGGTTTGCTAAGGCCCTGCTGTCACTTGTGCCTTGCCCTAGACTTTCCTGGGACACCTCAGCCTCCCTGGGACTAAGAGTTCTTTCTCTGTTCCTAAGAGATCCATAAAGTATTTCACGCAAAGCCAGGGTGTAGGAAGCCCTCATCGAAGGCGCTGTCTTCCCAGCCTGCAGTGTTGGGGGCTGAGCACCTTCTCTCAGTCACTGGCTCCCTCACTCGCCCCTCTGACCACGCCTGGTGGCAGGCCCTCCCTGCCGGCATCCACCTCTGCTTCTGGACCATGACCTCAGCGTGTCCATTCTTCTTGGGCCAGTCCCACGTCTCAAGTCGGTTTTCTGGATCCTGTCCCTCCGTGTGCTGCTTTAGTAGACACACGTCTTCACAGACGGCAGGCCTCAGTCCATCTTCCTGGGCCCAGGTCTTGCTTACCTAGCCCTCCCCGACGCCCTTCCTGCCCGGCTCGGCCCGCTGGCTGGGAGACCACACCGGGGTGCCTGTGACTCTGCGAGGCCAGAAGTCATCGCCTCCGGTGTGTGCTTTCCTCTGTACAGGACTTTCTTCTGAGGACCGAGGAGCCCCGGGCCTGGGCTGCCTGGAGCTCCCCATGCTCTTGCCATGTCGCGTGAGCACATTTGGATGCTGCCGCCACCCGCGAAGCGGAGGGTTGGTGCGCAGCCCCAGCCTGGCGCCCTGCTTCCCTGCTCGGCCCGTCTCTCCACCCTCCTCCTCGCTCCGAGGTCTGTGCATCTCACAGCCTCTGGGCTCTGCTTTAGGGAAACCATAAAGGAGGAGGGGGGCTCCTTATCTACAGCTGCGGGGAGAAAGTGAGGGGCTCTGCCTGGGGCAGAGGGACCCCCTGCTCTTGGCTAAAAGGGCAGTTCTCTCAGCAGAAACGGGCCAGACAACTGCGAGCCTTGGGAGACAAGGCGTGCTTCTCTGCTCTCCTAGGACCGGGGTGGCTCTCAGGACAACCCTACACGGCACTCACCCTTTCCAATCTGAGCACGCCCAGACCACCACTCCCGAGGACCAGCAGACAGCCCTTTTGGGCCCTACAATGATTCCAGGGTCTTCTTTACTCTCTCACCTTGTCCTGAGTCTCCGTTTATCCCTCGCCATCCAGGAGGACGGAACGCACAGACTGGGAGGCAGGTGGCCCTGGGACCTGTGCACACGCCCAGAGCCGTTGCTCCATGGGGTCCTGTCCCTCAAGCACTGGATATCCCTTCGGTCACTCCCACAGTGCCCCTTCGAGAAGAGGAAGCACCTGACTTACTCAGTAACTTGCTATTCAAGCCGGTAAGTGCAGGCCCTGCTTCACCTGGATTCCAAAGCTCCAGCTCCTTCCCCACCAACGCACAGCACCAACCCTAGACTTTGCGGGAAGAGAGGCCTTCCTCACCTCCCGCCAACGAACCTCTACTCTTCTAGGCCCCGGGGTGCAGCAGCGAACAAGACAGAGGTCTTGCTATTCCAGCAAGAGCAGCGAACAGTAAACATGTGCACAGGTAAGTAAGTAGCTCATAAAAATAATAAAATTAGGCACTTTATATCTAGGGGGTGCGGGAAGACATCTCACAGGGGGGTCATATGAGTTGGATCCAAGCTGGGGAGAGATGGGAGGAAACTTCTGAGCAAATGGAAGTGTGGCAGGGACATGCTGGATACAAGGCCGCCACTCCTGGGGTGAAGTGGCAAGAAGGCGAGAGACTGCATTGGCCAGCGTGGTTCAGTGGTTAGAGTATCGGCTCATGCACTGAAGGGCTGCGGGTTTGATTCCCGGTCAAGGGCATATGCCTGAGTTGCAGGTTTGATCCCAGGCGCCAGTCAGGGTGAGTGCAAGAGGCAACCAATCCATGTGTCTCTCTCATCTCTCCTCTCTTTCTCCCCCCTCTTCTACTCTCTCTAAAAATTAATTAAAAAATATCTTTGGGTGAAGATTAACCAAAAAAAAGGGAAGGAGAGAGACCTCTGGTGACAGGGCAGCCAAAAAGGTGTGTTTTTTTTTTTCTTTTAACCATATCTTTATTGATTTCAGAGAGAGGAGGGGAGAGGGGGAGAGAGAGTTGAAACATCA